TATATTGGAAAGAGCAGCTTAAAAGACCTGAATTTTGTCATGAGCATGACTTGGCCATTTGGCTGTGTGACTTTGGAAAAAGAACTTCATTAGTTCACGTAGCTCTCTTTAACTAGAATGTAGGCTAGATTTGGAATTTATTTATTTATTTATTTATTTATTCTAGAAATTCTGAATATCTTCTTTGATTGTGGGCTCTTGTCCATAATTTATCATTTTTCTCCTACCTTCTGTCTATCCCTCATTGGGTTTTTATTGCTAATGTAGGATGACTGGATATTGTATTAATGATAACAGAGTCTAACGGAACAGTAATAAAAATGCAGCTACATGTCCTGCATACACATATTTTAAAATTATTTATTTATCCTTGAAATTAAAATGTTTTTATTCAGGATTACTATAAAGCTTTGGAAGATGCAGATGAGAAGGTACAGTTGGCAAACCAGATATATGACTTGGTAAGTAACATTAAGGCACATACCGTGTTATAAGTACTTCAATTATGGATTATGTTTTATATTTTATTGACTTAAATACTATAAAAATAAACCAAAACTGAAGTGTTTGCCCTCTTGATCCCTTTAATTTGAGTGAGTGTTTTTTGGTTTCTTTGAGGAAGAGTCACAGGGAGTCCACAGTGTTAGTTACTAAGTTGATAACCTTGTATTTTGGCAAAGTGTACGTTTCTGTTACAGTTGTGTCTGATGTTGGATGCTTTTTTTTTTTTTAAACAAGAACTGATGTTTATTTTACCAATCCTTATCTTAAGGTAATGTGTTTACTTGGCTGATAAATCATTTTGAGATTGTTTCTGTAGTAAAATACATGTAAGAGTATCATGTTGACAAGAATTCTTGGTAACATGATTGAAAAGAATAGAACCATTTGAATTAAGGTTTACCTAAATGATTTAATAGATAGTACTCAACAGCCGGGTCAGGTGGCAGATAGTTTGGGGAGGTTTTTTTAAAAGGTTTTTTTTTTTTTTTTTTAGCAGCAGGACTTCTAAAAATTGAAATTGTCAGGATGACAGATATAACATGCAATATTTCTCAAATTGACGTAACTCTGGTAGTCTTTTTTCATGTGAAGCATCTTGTCCTAAAATATATACTTTTGGAAATACTTCTTTTCGATTTTTGCCTGAAAATCAGTTAAAGCAGAAAACAAATGCTCATTTTTTGTTAACTTTGTTATACAGGTTTCATATTCTATTTTTGCAGTCTCTTCTGTGTACAGTTTTAGTACTGTACAAGTACATGTAAATACAAGTGTCGTTGGTGAGCCAGACACAACAGACAGTTACAATGTGGTATACATTGTAAATGCTTGTATTAAACTAGGACACATCTAAAACCATAGAGAATGTTTAGTTGTTTTATATAGTGAAAAGATTTTAATGGCTGTAATAATGTAGACTCTTCTGTTTATACCATTATTCTGAAAAAAACATAGGACACTACCTAAGGAAAGGTAGAATTAAGTCATAACTTGATTTACTGTGGAATAAAAACAAAAAATATTCGTGATTTTTCAATTTTGAATTAAGTCTGTAAACATAAAGATGTTTATGTTTGAATCCAAGACTAATTTGTTTAATAACATTCTTCCCTATATTTAATGACTATATGTGTCAGTCTTTATTTGGAGACTAGTTATGTGTTTAAAATCACATAGCTCTTTGGTTTTCCTCTTTCTTTTGTTTAATCTTTTTTTTTTCTTTTAACTTTTTACATCTTTATTAAAAATACTTCATGTATTTAGAAAAAAATACTTTGTGTATTTTTTTAACCACGCTGTTCATCCACTGTGTGCGGAGAATTTTATATGGTGCAATGGAGGAATAAAAAGTAAATCAAAGAAATGGTTCCTCTCCTCAAGGTGTCTAAATTGGTTTGGAAGACATGCCCACAAGCTAAAGTGAAGAACCCTTATAAAAACATGAAACAGTAAAGATTAATGTTTATCCCTCACCTTCCTCACCTTCAGTTGATCAGCGTGTCTTGTTCTTTTTACCTTCTAAGCATCTCTGATTATCCCTTTCTCTCCATTTCTTCAGCTTCCCATAGTTCAGGTACTTTAAAACAAAACAAAACAAAAAACCCAACTATCATTAGAAACTATAAAATGTTCATGTGTACACTGCACATTTTGACAAACACATATACCCATGTAACCAACACCCCAGTCAAGAGAGTGAACATTGTTATTCAGTCTAGAAAGTTCCTTCAGGTCATTTTCCAGTCTGTCTCCCCTCAGGTACTTTTTATCTCTCATCTGAACAGCTGTAGAAGCCTTTCTAAATGCTGTTTCTATCTTGATGTATCAACTTTTCTATTGAATTTCTAAAATATACATTTAAGTGTGCTGTTCCCTGTTTGAAATTCTTCATTGTTCTGCTACTAATATGTGTTATCATGGCATGCAATGTCCTTTATGCTCTGGTTCCTGCCAGATCTCTCACCACTTCTCTGTCTTGTCCTCCATCCCTCACTACCACCCACGGGCTCTGTCCATAGTGAACACACCCTGTATGTCTCACCCTCCTTGACTGCAGTGCCTCTCCTTTCCTGTTTGCTTGGTAAACTTTTTTCTGTCCTTCATAATCCTGCACGTACTTTGCCTCTTTTTAAAATTAATTTGGATATTTGTGTCATTTGTATATAGGAGAAGAGATTTGACTGATTATAATGGAAAAGCCACATAAGTGTGGTTTAAACAAAAGATTTATTTTCCTTTCATGTAAAATAACTGTTGGAGGAGGGGCTCGTATGGCAGCCGGGCATTATCAGTGTCTCAGGCTGCTTCTGATCTGTTTCTCCATCCTTTCTGGGCAGGTGGAAGAAGTGCAGTAGGGAATTACTCAGAAGGGCACATTTTGCAATTCAGTCAAGTTCTTAAAAAAGCTTTCCTAAAAGTCCCACTTCGTGACTTCTGCTTAAGAAGATCTTAACGAGATCAAAAGATCTTGTTGGCCATGTCTAGCTATAGGAGAGGCCGAGAAATGTCACTTAATACAGGGCCCATTGCCACCCCGAATATATTTAAGAAAGGAATATTGCTAAGGAAGAAAGGGAGAAGGGGTATTGTGTAGGTAGTTAGCAGTATATATGCCTTACCCTCCCCTCTGCAGAATCAGCCTCCTTATAACTCCTGGGCGCTGCTTTTATTATTGCTTGTATCACATTGTGTAGCAATTTTATTTACCTTTTTGGTTGTATGTTTATTTCCATACTAGAAAATGTCAAGAACTATATCTTTTTTTCTTTCTTTTTTTTTAATCCTCAGAGCTAGCATAGCTATCCCTCAATAAATATTTGTTGAACTAAATCACGTGAACAAGTTAGTGAAGAAGGAAAAGCACTGACGTGACTCCCAAGTTCTGAGTCTTGGGGATAGAGAGCTTACTGGTGTCATTTACATTTTATAGTTGGATGACTGTTTCTCAAAAAAGTGATGGAATCACACTTTAGTATGCCGAGATTGGCTTTGATGGGTAAACAAGGGGAGACTGCAGTGCAAATGGCCACTTCATTTCAAGGTATGACTTTAAACAAAGGAAAGTGAAAGGAGAAAGAATATATAATTCCTAGTAAGATAATGGTTTCAGGAGAGTTTAGTTTCCTTTATAATACCACTTTCAGAGTCCGAACACTTAATCTTATGATCCTTGCCTTTGCGCATAAGTTTTTTGTATCCCTCTTTTTAAATTGCTTTTATAGTTATTTTAGTTTCTTCAGTTTGGCTAGATTGCCTTCTCTAATATAGAAATTCATTCTAAAAATTCTAAAGCAGGATTTGCAGGTGTACCTTCAGCAAAAATGGCATTTTTT